GTTTTAGATTTTATATTTAGGTCTTTGATCCATTTTGAGTTAGTTTTTGTACATGGTGTGAGAGATATGGGTCTTGTTTCATTTTGTTGCTAATGGATATCCAGTTTATGCCAGCAGTATTTGTTAAAGAGAATGTCTTTTCCCCAATTAAGGGCCTTTGGGCCTTTGTCAAATATCAGCTGCTCATAGGCTGATGAATTTATGTCTGGATACTCAATTCTGCTCCACTGGTATCTGTTGTTGTACCAGTATCAGGCTGTTATGACTACCGTGTGGTATAATAGGTTCTGAAATCAGGTAGTGTGAGGTCTCCCACTTTGTTCTTCTTGTTGAGTAATCCTTTACTTATCCGGGGCCTCTTCCCTTTCCATTGGGTGAGTTTTTTAACTTCTCTGTGCTTTGGCTTCTTCATACATAAAATGAGGACAATAATAATAGAATGATAACAATAGCAATAGTGTCTACCTTATAGGTTTGTTATAAGGATTAAATGAGTTGAAGCACTTAGTATCTGGCACGTAATAAATCCTACACAAGTTGTTAGCCATTACGCTGTTGTTACTATTACCCCCATCATCCTTACCTATTCCGTTGTAGCTCCAGAATATGACTCTCACCGTCCAGCTCCAATCTGATCCGCAGGGCCTCGGGCAGACTGGTCTGTGGGCACCAGAGGGCGTGTCACCTCCCTGTCCCTGCCCACAACTCCTACCCTCTCAACAGAAAACCTCATGCTCTCAGGAGAGCACTGAGGATTAGATCACTGGGGAGGGGGTTCCTGAGGGAGGGGCCAGGAAGCCCTGCCTGGCCTGGGGCATTGTTCTGGGGGGTTGCGTAGGGAGGTCAAGGAAGGTATCTGAGCCACCCCTTCTCGGCTTCCTGCCCAGAGAGGAAGCATCGTGGAGGACCCAGCACAGGCCCCAGCCCTTCCTCTGACTCAGCTTTAGAATTGGGGGAGGGGGTGGTGGTGAAGCCCTGACCCTCTCTAAGAAGTACCCCCACTGAGAGAACCCACAGCATGAGACCAGGAAAGCAAGATTGGCCTCAGAGTTGCCCCAGTGGAGATGGATGGGTTGGGTGAGGCTGAGGCAGACAGATGTGTGTACAGAGGAGGGGAGGAAATAAGTGAAGCCAGGTGTTGGGGTACAGTGGGAGAGCGAGCCAGACCTGGAATGGACCTGCTGCAATGGAGTCCACTCGCCCTGCTCCTTGGCCAGAGTCTGGCTTCGAGACACCTGATTCTGGGGGGTAGGGGGAGACGGGGTGGTGGTGGGTGTATTTGTGTATTTATTAGAGAGAAGAGGCCCACCTGAAGTACCTCCGCTAGGCTGAGCACGAGGTGGTCCTGAAGGATCTGGGGCTCCAAGGGCCCACTCAGGGCCTTCTCTGGTCTCTCCTGCTCCCCGGTGCCACCTGCAGGGTCCCCAGAACACCCCAAGAGAGTACTGAGAGCATCAGTACCAGGGCTGGGGGTGGCTAGTCCCCTCCGACCCCCCAAGCCCCCAACACACCACATCGCTGTCTGAAGGGCCTCTGTACAACTTGCTGGAACTTCGAGAATAGAGAGGGAGAGGGGGCCTTTCTCCAACTTACTTCGTTTCAACCCATCCACACGGTCCTCAGAGAAAGAAGCTCAGCCTGTAGCCTCTCCCTGTCCCCCTCAGGCCAATCCCGGGTTCTCACAGGGACTCTCCCCCTGTTCCCACTCGCTTCCAACCCCCCTCCCCCAGGAACGCCTTCTCTCAGGACTGGGCGAGCCTTGTGGCTGGGTGCCCACTCACCCTCCCCTTCCCTCACATCGGGGATGCCTGCCGGGAACGCCCATCTCTGGGTGAGCAGTGCAAATACTCCCACCTCCCTAAACACCCCTCATGCCCAGCCAGGCACACCCGTTCTCCCCACAGCCTCGGGTTCCTCCTAGCGTCCTCCCTCACACCCCCGCACAATGGCCCTCCCTCCTCCGGACACTCCACCTCCGCCTGCCCTCTCGGCCCCCTGGCCCAAGACAGCAGCGGGAAGTGAAAGTTCCAAAGAGGAGCTGGTGTCCCAGCCTCTTTCCTGGCCAATTCTCCCCTCTCCTGGCTCCTCCAGGGCCCCCTCCCGCTCAGACAGGCTTCTGGTGGCAAGTCTCAGGGTGATGGGTGCCCGGCTGCCCAGGCCTGGGATGAGGGTCCAGGAAGAATCCTCTGCGCCAAACACTGCGAGCCGTGTCCCCTCGGCGCCCTGGCACCGGGTGGACCGGTCAGCTAGGCCCCAGAGGAGCAAAGACGTCAGTACTCGGGAGCATCTCCCACGATTGTGAGGAGCGCTGGGACAGGCCCTTTGGTGCCTGGCACCGAAGCCTGAAAGTGTCCGCGGCGTCCACACAGATAACCGACCGAGCGGGGGGCGCCGGCATCCCCCCTTCTTCTCTCCATAGCCAAGTCGCCGGTCCCTCGGACCGGGACGGCGGACGCGCGCTGGCAGCGTTCTGGTCGGGTTCTCCGAGGGTCTCCAGCCGACCCCCTTGCCCAGTGCCTCCCTATGTCCCCGCGCCCCCTCCCGGTCTGCCCCCGGCCCACCCTTGGCCGGGACTCACCTATATTTGGGAGCGGCCGGGAGGGCAGAGGGCTGCCCGCACCCAGGAGCCCCAGTGCCCAGAGCAGCGCCAGCCGCATGGCAGCGGCGCCCGGGGCCGGGCTAGTGCAGCAGGTGCGGGGCCGCGCGCCGAGGAGCCGGGGCAGCCGCGTCTGCTCTGCTCACTCTGCCGCCCCGCGCAGCTACCAGGCTCCGCCCCGCCCCCTCCTACCAGACCGGGTGCCAGGCTCCGCCCCGTCAAGGCCCCGCCCCCGCCGCGCGCCGGGTGCTAAGCCGGGACTCCGCCCACAGGGCCGGCTCCGCCCACAAAGCCGGCTGAGGCCGGCCCCGCCCGCGGTGTGCTACACAGCTGCTAATCCAGCAGCTACTGTGCTGGGCGAGACTCGCGACTGGGAGCCGAGGCCCGGTCTGACCGGCTGGGGCGTCACGCCTCTGCCGACCCGGGCTCCAGTGTCTCCCTAGCGGCTTTGCTGCCCCTCGGCCTCGCCTCCGCGGCCCGGCCCTGCGGGGATCAGGCGGGTCAGCCCTTCCGACTGCCGGCTAAGGCGGCTTCTGGCTCACCCCGGCTCCGGACCCCCGCGAGGTGCCGCACCAGAAGGATACAGAGCGTTTTATTAAACAGGAAGGAGCAGGCTGGGAGAGTGGGCGGGATGCCCCTTCACTCCGCGTAGGTAGCGTCGTCGTTGCTGTCGCTGAAGGCGGAGGAGGAGAGCTCCTCGCGGGGTGTGCAGACCGGGCACTGCTGCCGCATGTCGACCCAGCACGACCGGCAGTACACGGTCTCGCAGCCCGGCGTCGGGCACACGTAGGACTCGGGCGTCTCGGGTGCCAGGCACACCACGCAGCGCCGGCGCAGCCAGCGGCGCAGGAGGGGACAGCGGCGGTGCAAGATGTCAACCAGGTGGTGGCGCTGTTGGGAGGTGAGGAAGGCTTAGAGCCAGCTGGGGAACAAGCCGGGGGGAAAAGTTGCTGGCGGGCCTGGAAAAACCAAACCGGTTGTCTTCGAGACTCATAGCGACCCTATAGAACAAGGTAGAACTGCCCCCCATAGCATTTCCAACGAGCAGCTGGTGGATTCGAACTGCCGACCTTTTGGTTAGCAGCCAAGCTCTTAACCACTGCACCACTAGGGCTCCCTGGGGGCCTGGAAAGCGCTCCTATTCTGAAGTTCAAGGCCTGACAGTGCCCACATGTTGGAGGGGGCTGGAGTGAGCGAAGGACACCCCTGAAGGGGGAGGGCGTTAAGGACGTGGGTCTTAGAGAGTGTCCCTCGCCAACTCTGTTCACGTGATGGAGAGTGGGAGGATGCAGCCTCTAGACTCTCCCGCCAATAACAACGACAACTATCATTTACGCTTTCCCATAAATCAATCATCTTATTTGGATCTCACCAGGGGGCTGCGAAGTGAATAGAGCACATAAGACTATCACCATTGTTATCCTCACTTTACAGATGAGAAAGGTGAATCTCAGAAAGATTAAGTGACTTTCCCAAAGGCACGCAGCTAGTAAATGATCTAATGGATTGGACCCAGTGCCCTGATTTCATGTCACAAGCCTGAGTCATTATGCTCCCCCACCCACCCTCTCTCTGCACAATTGCCAGGCATTCCTTTCCATCTTATCAGGCGATTCTCTTGCTTCGGAAACTCCAGGGGCCCCACTGCCTTGCCAGACAAAGGCAGAACTCCTGGGTTTGGCCTTTAGGGCCTTCTATAATCGGTTCCTTTCTAGCCTCTGCTCCACCTTAAAAACAAAACAAAACAAAAAAAAAACCAGTTGCTACTAGCTGATTCTGACTCATGATCACCCATGTCTTGCAGAGTAGAACTGTGCTCCATAGGATTTTCATGGGTGTGGCCTTTCAGAAGCAGATCCCAGGCCTTTCTTCTGAGGCACCTCTGGGTGGATTCAAACCACCAACCTTTCAGTTAGTAGCTGAGCCCTTAATCGTTTGCACTGCTCACGGATTCCTCCTGTTCCACCTTATCCCTCCCTGAATGCTGTCCCTTCTGTGCCGTTTTAATCCCTAGCCTAGCCCTGACACTTGACAATCCCTTTGGTCTTTGCACATTCTCTTCCCTCAGCCTGAAACCAATGCCCCTCAACTGCCCATCAAAATCCAACTTATTTCAGAGCCAGGTCACAGAACCACACTGTGTTTGTTTCTTCATCAGATGTTCATTGCACCCCTACTGTGCACCCTGGGGAATCTTAGGATCTAGGCACTGAAGCCAAAGGTGAGCGGAACACAATCTCTCACTTTTAGGAGCTTTGTTAGGGATGGAAGAAACGAGAATGGCAGCCGTTCGTTGTTCTGTTTACAGTGTTGGTCCCTGTACTGAGAACAGTAACTAAATGAATTTACACACTAACCATATACGGCAGATATTACTATCATCATCATCTCTATCAGCTGAGAAAACTGACAGTTTGAAGAGGGTCACACAGTGACAACAAACACGTATATAGCACTTGCTACCCGCCAGCACCACGAGAGTGCTTTATGTACGTGAGCTCATGTAATCCTTGCAACAACCAGACGGAGTAAACTTCATTTTCCAGAAGGGAAAAACCAAGGCACAGAGGTCAAGGTCACACAGCTGCCACGGAAGTAAAGGGAGGAACCGGGATTCAAACCCAGGCTCTCTGGCACCACAGCCCCATGCGGGACCACCACACACACTGTTCTCTGGTGAGCAGGCCTGACAGATCTGCCTAACCTCCCCATTCTTCAGAGGGGAGGCCCAGTGAGGACCTTGGCCAAGGTCGTAGGGCCTAATGATGGAGTGTGGACTGGAGGGAAGTTGGCTCTCCTGACTCTGATGTTCCCACGCACCATGTGCCCCTTCGTAAGGCCTTCCTGATCCCCCGTCCACCTGCCTATCCCCTGACTCTGAACTGCAGTGAGCTTCTGGTCTGCAGCCCTCTCAGGAACACTGTGGCTTTGCCTTGGGCCCCCGGTATCTGGTAAGCCCCTCTTGGGGACCTCTGACCAGACTGGATCAAGCCTGATTCCCCTTGTCTGCTTTCTGCCCCAGTGGTCCAGTGAGTATATCTGGTTGGGCTGGATCCTGGGGTACAGAGAGAGACACAGCCCTGGCCTCCTGGAGCTGGATGACCAGGGCCCTTAGCATCTACCACATCAGAACTCACTGACCTTGAGTAGGCCTGAGGCCTTTGGTGGGTGCTGGGTGGGCTGAAGAGAGATGCCCCCTCTCCCACAGGTCTCCGGCCTGGCTCAGGCCTGGACTTACCGGAGCCCTCTGCTGGTGGGCCCGCCTCACGATGGCGGCCCTCCTCAGTTTGGTGAAGGCTGCTCTCTTCCTCAGTAGATCGTTGTAGAAGAACAAGATCCGCTTCTTCTCTCGCTGAGGGCAGGGAGAGGGGGTCAATGACAGTGACAGGGCAGAGGGGAAAGGACAGCTCCCAAAGGATGGGTTGTAGGGAGCTGGGTGTGTGTGCAGGGGTGGGGCACACCTTGGGAAAGTAGAAGGCTGCGATGACCCTCCGGAGCCGGTAGCCGAAAGCCTGGAGCAGGCACAGACACATCAGCAGGCCAGTTGGTAGTGCGGCCCTGAAGTAGGCTTGGGCATCCATGCTCTCGGGCTGGGGCAGGCAGGCTGGGGGTGGGAGGTAGGCCTGTCAGGGGCTGGCCAGGGCCATCCGAGGGACAGGGCAGCCCGCAGTTGGACTTCCCACCCCAGTGGGATGTGTAGGTTTGGCGTCCGATCCCTCTACTTTCCTCCTGCCTGCCCTTCACCCTCCAGAGCTGCGCTGTCAATATGGCAGCCACTAGGCACACAAGGCTGTTCACTCAATGGGATGCACATCTAGAACAATAGTATCATGGCAGAAAGTTCTATTGGCCAGCTCTGCACCAGAAGGCTGGAATCCCTACCGTCTGACCATGGCTTCAGTCCCCAGACTTCTATGACCCAAGCTTGTCATCCTCCACTCTTCAAGCCTGCCAGCCCTCTGATTTACCCAACCCAAGCCCAGTGACACCCATCTCTCCACACTCAAGCCCAGTCCCCCAACCCTTTACCTTGGCGTTTTTTGACCTCTGCCCACTCCCCACCCCAGCACGCAAGTCCTCTGATACAGACTGTTAGTGTCACTCACGCATGTTGTTGGATTCTACCGCCGTCTCTGAGGAGGTATTCAGGGCCCCAATGGTATTCCGAAGAAGCCGGGCAAGCATGGAATCTCCTTCCACCTTCACCTCCAGTTTATGACTGCCTGAGGTCAGGAATGGGGCCGTAGGTGGGGGGGATCAGGAAAAAGTTGGGGTTAAGGGGATGGGACGGGCTGGGGGCTGGATGTAGGGGAGGGGTCCAGGCAGAGAACTACTCAGCAGCCCAGGACTTTCTGTCATCTCAAGGAACCTAACTCCTCTCTGTTGTAGATGCAAAGGGTGGGGACTAAGGCCCCCAGTGACAGCTGCCAGTTTGAGATGTGACCTGGAGGATGTCAGGGAGGGGCTGAGTCAGAGAAGGGGAGCAGAAGAAGACAGAATTGGGAGAATTGTGGTGAGGTGGCTGCACAGAGGTGGGAGTTGGTGTCTCTCGGGGCTGAGTTGGACAAGAGGGTCTGGAGCCAAGAGTAGGGTAGGAGCTCACTGCGGAAGGAGTACTGCAGGAAGGAGTGGTGGCGGATGGTGTCGAAGATGGAATAGAGAGCCCAGTCCAGCCCACACAGCACCACCAGCAGCAGGAGGACGGGCAGCGACTCCAGGAGCTCCCTTACCTGCCCAAGGAGCAGGAGCGGTGGGACTGGGTAACGCTGCCTGCTTGGCATGGGCACCCTGATGCCCTTTGCCCGCCACCCTGCAGATGCGTGCCCCCCATGCCTTCCTCACCGCGTTTTTCATTTCTGAGGCCTGGATTGTGGGCTTGCAGGGAAAGATGACGGTTTTCTCCTCGGCTTTACGGAGCGGCAGCAGAGTCCTTTTGCCCTGGGGGAAAAAAAAAATGTCCACACAGTGAGGAACCCCAGTGGTCCTCTGCACTCTCCCCTTTGCCCTCCAGGAGCATGAGGCCCACACAGGCCACGCAGCAGGGTACCCTGGGGCAGGGCTGTGTCCACACACCAGCTTCTTCCTGCGTTCATCGATCTGATAGAAGTAGGTGCTGATGTAGATGTTGTCAAAGCGGATGTCCCGATTATAGTTGTCCACATAGGAGAAGGACCTGTGGACAGACAGGGATGTCTCCACTTCCTGCTTCAGGTTCTCCTCCATCCCCCCGCAGTCATGGGCTTCCTTGAGGCACAGCCAGTCATTTATTCAGCCGGCCAACCATCATTTATTGAGCACCATCCGTGTCCTAGGCATGGAGCTGGGCAAGGGGGATGACGAGAAGACTGCCCTCCAGCAGCGCGCAGTCAGCGGAAGTCACACCTGCACAACGGGGGAGACATTCCGGGGGCCGAATAGAAGCTCAGTGGGGGCTCAGAAGGGGGTACGGCTAGCCTGTGTGGGGCTGGGGGTCCTGTAAGTGCAGCGGTGTGCGTGTCAGGTAGGGGAAGGCGTCACAGACATGGACTTTGCAGGGTGGCTAACAAGCAGAGGGAACAGCAGAAGCAAAGGCACAGTGACAGACAACCTCTCAACGCCGAAGGAATCACCTAATCAGCAGGCTCCCACAGTCACCTCTTGAGTCCCTGCCTCTTGGCTGAGCCTGCCAAACATGTCCTGTAGGTCACCTCAATCTAAACTCACCCCCAGCCACCATCTTCCTTCTCTCTGACAGACCCCTGCTCCTCCCTGGCTCCCCTTGAACACGACAGTGTGTGTGTGTGTGTGTGTGTGTGTGTGTGTGTGTGTGTGTGCACATCGCTGTCCGTGTGTGCGTGCATGCATGTGTGTGTGTGTGTAGCCGTCTCCCAAGTATCTCCCAAAGTCCCGACTTAATGCTTTAGTTTCCTAAAGGAGAAGTGTTAATTGTTGGAAATGTGGTCCCGACTTAATGCTTTAGTTTCCTAAAGGAGAAGTGTTAATTGTTGGAAATGTGTTTAGAACTAACTGTAAAAGTACATGCAATAAGCTAGGTAAACTGGAAACTGAAGTTCCAATGCTATTGGTTCCGGTACCCAGCACAAATCCACGTCTTTGCCTTGAAGATAGTCCTAACTATAAATGCAAAGATAGACTGTGAGCGCCCCCTTGTGGAGAGACCTATGGCTGCTGCACCTGGGCCTCCTGAGCCCCGGCCCCGCCCACTGGCCAGCTCCGCCTCTTTGGTGAGTGACCTCCAAGGCTGAAAACCTGTGACTTTTGACTCTGTGGCTCCTTCCTTTCCTCCCCAAACTGGCTCTGAGACCTACCACACCTTTCCCTTTCTTCCTGCCATCTAAGGCTACCTTCCTGCCACGTCCCACCACAGCCAGGCTCCCTGGCCTCCAAGCCCGCCTGGCCTCCTTGCCTCCAGCTCGCCCCAGTCCTTCCTGCAACCGCCCCAGTTCAGGCTTTCCTGCAGGACTTTCTAGACTGTTCCGGCCATGCCCACCTTCAACCTCATCCTCCACCCCAGGATCTGCCTTCTACGCTCCACAGATGTCAGGATCCTTGCCCAAGAGAACTCCCTTCCTTTTCTGGACCATGACTCCCCATCCACAGCCTTTGGGAGCCCAGTATACCCCTTCCAGGGGCGCTGATCTGGAAGCCTGTCCTTGGCTCCCACACCTGTCTGCATAGCCAGTCCACAGTATGGCCCTTGAACCATTCTCTGTTTTGTGGGGTCTCTCTCGCCTCCAGTATCCTGGGTGGCAAAAACAGTTATGCTCTTGACTATCAACCAGAAGGTTGGGGGTTCAAACCCACCCAGAGGTGCATCGTAAGAAAGGCCTGGTGATCTGCTTCTGAAAGGTGACAGCCTTGAAAACCCTATGGAGTGCACTTCTCTGCACCCCGTGAGTCAGAATTGACTTGACGGCAACAGGTCTTTCATTTGTTTGCTTGCTCTTGCTTCCCCAACTAGACCACGAGCTACTTGAGGGCAGGACTGTGGCTCATTCATCCCTGACCTCTCACAGGGCCCTCGGTGCTCACCTAACTGGCAGTCACTCTCGGTCCTACACACAGGGGCAGACAGAGTCCCGTGACTGCCCTTGCCCAGCCCCTGCCCAGCTCAGTCATTTGGGGTGGAGACGGGAAGGAGAGGGTCCAGAGGTCAGCTAGGGCACAAGAGCGAGGCCCCGGTCAGCCCAGCGGGACGCTGGGCTGGGTGGGGTTGAGGACTTTGGTCCAAAAGGAGGGGAAGTCGCTGCCAACGCAGCAGGCGGGAGAAAATGAAAGCAAAATTGGACCATAAAAACGGTACAAAGTCAGAGCCAAGGGGAACATGAAGGGCAAGAAAAAAAATCAGAAGTCAAAGCTAAATGTAAAAAAGTCGGCGCTGGGATAAAAGCTGGAGCAAGGTAGGCACGTAAAGACGGCCGTCCTTTCATGGGGGCGGTAACACGGGTAACGTTTCCTCTGACAAAATGTCCACGTTTCTTTGTTTCAATCTTGGATGAACAATGAAGCCCACTTTATAAAAAGGCAAAGCCGAAAGCAAGTGTTTGGGTTCATAGGAACGGGTGGGCTATGTAATTACGTTCTGGAAGCTTCCCTCAGGTCAGGGCTGAGCCCAGCAGGGAGGGGGCTCCGAGAGGGGCAGGGACCCTGGGGTGGGGGCTTGTGGCTCACGCGTGTAAGACCAGCAGGAAGGTGCAGGAGAGCAGCACCTGCAGCAGCCCCAGGGTCCACTCCAGCCGGGCCTCCTGGCTTTGCACATAGTTCTGCACCTCGGTGCCCATGTGCTCCCAGCTCTGGTTGAGGCCCAGCACTGCAGCCTGCTTCTCCTCCTGGTGGGGGCAGAGGGGCGGACTCAGCCTGCGCTGCCCGCCAGGCCCACACCAGGCCTCTTCACTGTGTCCAGCTCACGTCCTCGTGGTCCTCCAGACCTTCAGGAATTGCCACTTCCTTCTGCTCGCCACCCTCCTTGGCACAGTCTTGCTCCCCCACACCTGTATCAGCTGACACCATCTCACACCTGGCCGACCAGGTCCACGCATTCCCCACACTCACCTCTGTCC